TACGTATTTCAGGGGTGGCCAAACTGTGGCTTTCGAGCCACATGCAGCTCTTTTACCATTAAAGTGAGGTTCGCTGAGCACCTCATGTCCCCCCCACCTAGGGTGACCAGATCACTGACATGAAATATCGGGACGCCGGGGTGCGGAGCAAAAAAAAAAGCCGTTTTGCAGGTTCCGGGGGAATTACCAGGCCTCGGCCGCACTGCGGCTATGTGCGCTGCCCCCGCCCAGGGCCCTGGGCACGTGCGGTGCATTCCGCCGCCCCCGCGGAGAAGGAGCCGCTGGAGCACAGCCGAGTGGGAGAGGCGCGGGGCTCCGGACCCTGGCAGCGGCGGGGGAGAGCGGCTCAGGGCCATACGAGTGGCCATGTAAAGTTTATCAGCTCAGGGGGGACCCCGGCTGGCTCCTCGCCCCTGTAGGGGGGTAGTGTCCCCACCCTGCGCCAGCATGTCCCGCAGGCCAGGTAAGGAGCCGAGTCCGTCCCCCCCCCGTCCTGGCTCCTCAGCTGAGTGGCATTCCTCCTCCCTCCCAGGCTTGCAGCTGTAATGCCGGCACAAGCCTGGAGGGATGGGGTGGGTGGTGGCCGGCTTCCAGTTCCTGGAGCTGGATGCACCAGGTGGGCAGGCAAGGGGGCTGCTCCCCCAGGAGGGAGGGGGGGCTCAGCGGAGGAGCCAGGGGGCGGGGGGAAACTTGACTTCTTACCACCCCCTACAGGGGTGAGGACCGGCCGGGGTCCACCCCGAGCCAATAAACTTTACATGCCCACTCGTGTGGCCCCGAGCCGCTCTCCCCCACCGCTGCCGGGGTCCAGAGCCCCCCTGTCTCCCTCCTGGGGGAGCAGCCCCCTTGCCCGCCCGGTGCCTGTACTCACCAGCTCCAGGAACTGGAAGCCAGCCACCACCCCCCCCTCCAGGCTTGCCACCATTACAGCCGCAAGCCTGGGAGGGAGGAGAAATGCCACATGCTTGGGGAAGAGGCGGGGCCAGGGCGGGGATTTGGGGAGGGAGCAATGGGGGGAGGAAGGGGTGGGGCGAGAGCCCTTCCGGGAGGGCAAAATTACTTTTGTCCAGTGTCCTGACCGCACATCGGTCGGGACACGGGACAAACAAGCAAATATCGGGACAGTCCCAATAAAATCGGGACGTCTGGTCACCCTACCTCGACCCCATTCTTCACCTACCAGACTTGGGTGGGGGGGAAAGCTCAGGACCTCTGCATTGCAGCGGGGTGGTGCAGTAGGGACTTCTGCTCATCGGGGAGAGGTCTTGGGCCTTTAGCCCTGGAAGGCGCACTTGCCAGGGTTTGCGGCTTCAGCAGGAGCGGGGCTGAAGCCCAACCCCCGGCATACATATCCTGGCTCGAACTCTTAAGATTGTCATATGTGGCTCGGAGGGCCAGTACGTTTGGCCACCCATGACATATTTGCTAACCCCATGATCGGTCTTGTAGAGTATGAATCACCAATATCATTTACCTGCAGCAAAGTGTGTGTTTGTGTATCAAGGTCAGCATCTGCTTAGTCTGATGAATGCAAAACCTGGAATGGTATAGCTACTATAGGCAATTCAACAGAAGAATCTGATAGAGAAGTTTATTGTTCAGAAGATGTGTTGTCACTTATTTGAATGAAAGTAGTCTTACAGTCTACTAAAATTCTGCTCCTGGCTCTGCCATGGATTTGCACTGAAGCCTCATGCAAGCAGGGCCGGCTTTAGCAAGTGTGGTGCCTGATTTCTGGGGCGGCACTTCGGATTGCTGGCTGGGGGGCCGTGGGGCTTGCCGCGCTCTGGCTGACGGTCCGGCTGGGGCCGCGGAGCTGTGGGACTGCCTGCCACACTCCGGCCGGTGGTCCGGCCAGGGTTGTGGGGCTGTGGCGGTCCGGCTGAGGTCACGGAGCTGTGGGGCTGCCTGCCGCGCTCTGGCCGGGAGTGCGGAGCTGCGGGGCTTGCCGCGCTCCGGACGGGGTTGCAGTCCGGAGTGCGGAGCTGTGGGGCTTGCCGCGCTCCGGACGGGGTCGCAGTCCACGGGGCTTGCCACGCTCCGGCCGGAGCTCCAGCTGGGAGAACGGGGCCACGGGGCTTGCCGCGCTCCGGCTGGAGCTCCAGCGAGGAGAGCAGGGCTGCGGGGCTTGCCGCGCTCTGGCCGGGGTTGCCGGGCCACGGGGCTTGCCCCGCTCCGGCTGGAGCTCCAGCGAGGAGACCAGGGCCGCGGGGCTTGCCGCGCTCTGGCCAGGGTCGCGGGGCCACGGGGCTGCCGTGCTCCGGCTGGCGCTCTGGCCAGGGGAGAGGGGTCCCCAAAGACGACCGCCACCGGGGTGAGTGCGCGAGGCCCTCTTAGGCGCAGGGCCCGATTCTGGGGAATCGGGCGAATCGGCCTAAAGCCGGCCCTGTATGCAAGTAACTTAAATCCTCTGCCTCAGAAAAATGGGAATAATGAAACTTAGCTGCTTACCTCCCATGGATATTGTGAGAACTAATTAGTCAATTTTTGTACAGCATTTTGAAGATGTAAAGCATGGAGTGTGTGAAGTGTTCCCTAAAGAAAAGGTTATAAAAATTAAGTCCAAGGGCTTTCTCTAATACAACTAATGTTGCAGGTTTTGAGACACTTATTTTAGGCCCAATTCCAAAAGTGGGGTGACCATATATTTCCCAAAGGGAAAATGGGACACCACATGGGGCTCGCCTGAACCCTCCACCACACAATGGAACTGGCTCGAGTCGCTCGCTGGCCCAAGCTGCCTGGCGTCACTGCGTCGCCTGAGCCCCATTATGCTGGACTGGCATTGCCACTCACTCTTGCCCCCCTCTGCACCTCACTGACGGGGCACGCCCCCACCTTTTTTAGCAAAACTGGGCATTTGTTCCATTAGCTCTTGACAGCTGATGATCAGTTAGCAAGAGTAAGTGGGACAAATGCCCAGGTTTGCCAAAAAAATCATGATGCCTGGGACAGGGTTTTAAACGGGGACTGTCCTGGCCAAAATGGAATGTCACCCTATTGAAAAGACACTGGCACGTAGGTCCTCGGTACCTTTTGGCATTTGGTCCTATAATAAGAAAATATCTGATTCATGCCTGCCCAACCAGTGAAAAACAGAAAAGCTTCACTACTGGGAGAATGCAGCAACACCCAATGACTTTTCATTATTTGTTAATCTGTTTCTGAGTATCCTGTGACTCTCATTATTTCCTGGAATATACAGTAGTTGCATAAGACAAAGAAAAAAGAGGAATTAAGTTACGTATTGAGCTGCAGAATTGGACAATAAAAGGAACTGATGTAACTGTAGAGAGGCTGCAAACATTTAGTTTCGTTACTTACTTGCCTGGTGGTTGTTTAAAAATCAGCTTGCTTTTTAGAGGTCTGTCTTATAACTTTAGTTAACGAGTATCTTGTTGTAGACAAAAAGAACAGGAGTACTTGTGGCACCTTAGAGACTAACAAATTTATTAG